CAGAAAAATTTTAAGAAATGTACTCTCCTATGACCTAGCAATCCTACTTTTGGGCATTTACCCAAACAATCACAAAGAAGGCCATACTAAGGCTACCAGCACAACTATGTTTATTGCAGCATTGTTTACCATAGCTAAGATATGGAACCAACCCAGATGCCCCTCAGTAGATGAATGAATCAAGAAAATGTGTTATATATACACAATGGAATTTTATGCCTCCATTAGAAAGAATGACATTGCCCTGTTTGTTAGGAAATGGAAAGACTTGGAAAAAATTATATTAAGTGAAGTAAGCCAGGTCCAAAAAACATAGGTCCTATGGTTTCTCTTATTTGCAATAACTAGTATATATCTAGGACAAGCAGAAAAGGTCAAAAGGTATGTACATATAACCAGATAAGATGATGTTAAGCGAAATGAACCCTAAAATAGGGACACAAGTGAATTTTCCTTTCTTGTTATTATTTCTAACGTATTTATGAGGTACCATGTGGTTTTTTGTTGCTTTATATGTCCCTCCCCCATGGTATAACCCCTGTTTTCACTGTAGTTGATGTCGGTATAATTTGGGGAGGGGAAGGTAAAAAACAAAATGTTTAAATAGGGATAAAGGTAGACCCATTGCAACAATGAGTTGTACAAGACACTGTTGAACTATGAACTTTACAATTTAGGTGGGGGTAGGGGGGAGTATAGTTGTGGAGGTGGGAGGGAAGGGATGGTAGGGGAAAAACAAAGGAGGAGGCAACAATGTTTGATAAGAAATGTACTCATTACCTTGCTCGTGTAACTATAACCCCTCTGTACAGTATTTTCACAATAAAAAACATAAAAAAGAAAATGTGTTTATTGTAACCAAAACATTGAAATATATAAGATAAAAAATGAGGGCTGGGAAGGTAGCTTAGTGGTAGAGTGCTTGCCTTGAATGCATGAGGCCCTGGGTTCGATTCCTCAGCACCACATAACCAGAAAAAGCCGGAAGTGGCACTATGGCTCAAGTGGTAAAGCGCTAGCCTTGAGCTGAAGAGCTGAGGGACAGTGCCAAGGCCCAGAGTTCAGGCCCCACAATCAGCAAACAGAAAAAAAAATCATCTTCTGCTCCACATTTCTACTGCTAAGGCAACTCCAGGGATTCTACCATTAGTTTTGGGGTCTGGTTTTCCAGATACAGAATAATCATTTGTAACTCCGTAAGAAACCGAGCTGCTCTGAACACCTCAATTATAGCCACAAACCTCAGTCTGAAGTTTACTGTGTTGATATTTTCTAAAATATTGCAGACATTTACTCATCTCTTAAATTTCTGGGAGAATCTCCTGCACAGTGCAAGGCAGTAGGAAAACTAAATAACTATCTTGGGGAAAATGATTCTAAGGGACAGCTGACGCCTTGCATGCTTACCCTTTATCTCTTCCCTTTCTGGATTGCATACAAGTATGAAATGTCCAGTGGGAGTGATTGGCGTGGCCTGCTCCTCTATTCAAGTACTGCCAGCTGTGGGCAGTGGCAGCTTATTATAAGTCCTAAGATCAAAGGGGAAGTTAAGTGTCTCCCTATAACTATCCTAGCGCAATTATGGGGATTTTTCTTGAAACCAAAGAAAGAAGATTTGATACATTTAAATGTCTTTTGGTTTAATATTTTATAGATGCTGTTTTGTGCATCATTAAATAAATAGTGTTTATTTGTTGCAATCTGAACAACTTGCAAGTTCCAGTGCAAACTCCTCTTTAGTCAAGGGCCAGTTCTTATATATTTTGTGTCTAGCCACATTAAACCTATAGCAACAACTAGAACAATCCCAGTTAGTTTTATAGAGTCCCATGTTTTAACATGAGCAGATAATCAACAATTATAGCATATTGGGAGAAAGTTTCTCATAAGAAACAAGAAGAAACACATCAGAACAAAACCAAGATCAATATAAGCCAAGAAATGTAACTTTAAGAAAATAAAGTTCATGTAGGAAGAAGAAACTATTGCTAGAAGATATAAAATACAAATAAAACTACTATTAAAAAAGAAACATTCAGAGAACAAAAAGAGCTGATGGTAATATAAAATACGATGGCAGGATCAAAGGGTAGAAGGTTTGGATGGAAAAGTTGAGAAAAATCTTCCTATGAAATAAAAGGTAAAAATGATTTTGAGAAGGCTTACATCTATCACTTTTCAACCTTTTGGTTAAGATTAAATGTAGATGATCTACCGTCTACATCATAGAACTCCAAGAAAAAGAGAACAGAGAAAATAGGGTGGAAAAAAGTCAGAGTTCAAGACAAAGTGTTAGAATTAAATGGCATGATTCAACGAACAAAGAACCTGTTGAATGCCTACCATAATGAATACAAATAGAAGACTAACACATGGGCATATCATTTTCAGGCTTAAAAACTCTGGAAGTAAAGGAAGGAGCCTACAAGCTTCCAGGATGGCAAAGGAAAGCTTTCAAATAAAGGATCAATAATCAGAATAACAACAAATTTTCTTAGTGATTCAAGAAGCTAGAAGACAATTAATCAATGCCTTCATTGGGAGGAAATGTAATGCTGACTGTATTACTATTTGAAAAAAGTAACTTTTAAGGCAAAAAAAAAACCCATTCTATAGTTAAGAGATTAGAGTGAAAAGAATCAACTCATCTATTGAGACTGCAATAAAGTTATGAAAGTATACAAGATTAAGAAGCAAAGATATGTATAGTTAGCAAAAAAGTAAAAACACATTTTGCCTTTTTAAGATAGAAAGTTTTAAAAGAAAAAGACAAGTGCCACCTGACTGCAACTAAATCTTAACACTAGTAACACTCATAACCATTTTTTCACACTGCCGAAGGGTTGATATTTCTGTTACACTCCAGAAATAATCCCTAAATATCATAGCCTCAAATCACAATGCTATTTCTTTCCATGCCTGTGGCCAATCAAGATGACTCTCCAAGCCTACCGCAGGTGTTCCCATCTTCCAGCCCCTCCCTCCATTCCATCATACATACCGCGGGAAAGGAGGAAAGGGCTAGAGGGTCTCACACTTGTGGTAATAGGATGCTTCAGCCTGAAAGTGATGTCTCTCTGTCCACAATCCCTTGGTCCAGAATTAGTTATGTGGCCCTACTCAGCCCCTAAGGGAACAAGGAACTCTAAGCTCTCTGTGTTCCTGGAAGGAGAGAGCTGGGCCCAGTTGGGGATTGAATGTATCTACCATAGCTGGAAGTTCTGTTCAAATTTCTCAGGTCATCCTAAAACAGTGGGTAAGATTCCCTATATAAAGCTGCTGCTTTCACTGTTGCACCTCATTTTCATCAAAAGATACACTAACCCAAGCTCCAGCACAGGGATTCAGTCTTGCTGAGGACCTTCTGTCTTTGCAGTAGTATAGTACTTGATCCTTCAGAGCAGAGAGTGCTGACTGAGAGAGAGAAGCCTCTGGGGCAAGAGGTCCAAACCTCTCAACTGGGAACAGAAGCAGCAAAAAGTTAACGGCTATGGTAAGCATCCTCTGGCTGGAGTCCATCTGATACTCTGGGGAGCTTGACCTTGGATTCCAAATAGCTCCTGGCTACTTGGAGCTGCTGGCCAACTGGCAATTGATATTACATTGTTTCATTAGGTGTGCCATGGTACCATGCTGGATATCTCTCTCCCTCTCTGTCTCTCTCTCCCTCTCTCTCTCCCTCCCTCTCTCTTCTCTCTCTGTTTCTCTTATTCTCCACTTCTTATTAGCATCAGTTAATTGTACAAGGGTATTTCACTTTGATTATCCATATATTCACACAATGTAGTTGATCAGACTAACTCCCTTCTGTGTGTCTCTCCCCTTCCTCCTTTCCCCAAAACAAACTTCATTGTTCTATTTTCTTGTATGTTCATTAGGGATTTTGATCATATTCACTCTCCTCACTCACTAGTACCTCTGAGCCTCCTCTAGCTTTTCTAACAATTGCCTGACCCCATTAGTTCCCTAGCCAAGTTGATGTCTGATCAAATTTTTTTTTCTAGTCCTTGGCTAAAAAAGGAACACAAAAAACATGGTAAGACTATAAACATGATATAGTAGTTTTCAAATGCATCAAACATTTGACAATTGTCTTTCAATCTTTACCCATTTAAATTTTGTGTTTGTGGCAAAAACAACTCCCTAAAAATGTCCCCTCCCCCCAAAGATAGCAATGGGTTTAAAAATCAAATGTTAGGCCAGGCACCTGTGGCTCGCACCTATAATCTTAGCTACTCAGGAGGCTGAGATCTGAGAATCACGGTTCAAAGCCAGCCCAGGCAGGAAAGTCGAGAGACTTATCTCCAATTAACCACCAGAAAACTGGAAGTGGTGCTGTGGCTCAAGTGGTAGAGTGCTGGCCTTGAGCTGAAGAGTTGAGGAACAGAGGCCAGGCCCAGAGTTCAAGCCCCACCACTGACAAAAAAAAAAAAGAATCAAATGTTGGTTTCTAGCACCTACCTCCAGTACAAGCCTTTGATGCAGGGCTTGAGTTTGAGTGAGTGCATCTGAAGATACTTTCAAGAGTAGTTCCATTTTTTTCAAATTTCGAAAATCTCGTTCTTTCTCTCTTTGCTTTCGAGAAAGTTCATCATGGTAATTCTGCTTGTCAATGAGACTGTTCCGTAAATTGATATCCAAAAGTCCTCTGACCAGGTAAAGAAAAAAAAGGAAAGCAATTTGTCATCAACTGTTCTTCATGGTTTTCAAAACTTAACAAGACAGGATGCTTAGTATGTACCTATAGAATGATTTTCTTGGTAGAAGTATACACTGTAATACCCAAAACAAGTATCATTTAGTACCGCTTCTTACCAAACTTCCAAATATAGTAACAGACTGACAGACACAAAAGCCCCCAATTTCCCTGAAATTGTCCTTGAAAATAAGAAGTAAAGGATTGGAGATGCAGCTCAGTGACAGGTATGTGCTCAGCATATTTAATCTGGAGTTCAGTCACTAGCACTGAAAAAAAAGGAGGAAGAAAAGCACTTCCAGAAAATCACATCATGAAATTGCTCTTACTAAGAAAAAGTTGGGATGGTCTCAGAAATACCATTCATTTATGATCATTCCCATGGCTCATTGTAGTTTTTAATGGAATGATTAATTTGTAACCATTCCAGTGATTTAGTTTTAGAGGAACATTTCAGAAACTTACAGCATACAGTAGATATTGTCTTTAGATTTTGAAACTGGAGAATTGAGGAAAATTACGATTAAAGAAATGGAAAAAGTATTTTAATATGCTTTATTTAAAATTCTATAAAAATGTTTGTTGAATCAACATAAAACCTTCCAAACTTGGTTTTTGACAGTACTTGAGATTGAACTCAGTGTTTAGCACTTGCTAGGTAAGCCTATATCAGGTGAGTCCTATCCCTCAGCCCTGAGATAGTTTTAAATACGCAAAAGTGCACTGAAGAAAAATTTAGATGATGGAACACATAAATACAACCTTTCAGATAGCGAAGCTGCTTCATTCTCCCTGGTTAATTCGGCTTGCTTGATCAATTGGCTAAATTCTCGCTCTTTAAATTCAAGTAAGGCTCGTTTGCCTTCAACTTCCTTTATTACCTCCTCCTTCTCTTCCACTACAGAACTAGCTTTGTTTTCAATTTTCTTTAGGGAATCATTTAGCTCTTTGACTTCTTGTTCCAAGGCAACCTTTTTCTTTTCCATTTCTCTGTGAAGGGGACAAACACACACACGCACACACACATGTCATATTTTTAGCTCATGTTGTCTTCATATAGTATCAGGCATAAGAGCTGGTAAGAGCTGGTAATAAATTCAATGTTCTCAGAAATTTAGAGTGTATCTTCCCTGAGTTCCCCTCTGGGTGAGGATTTGCCCAGCCTATTTCTACCTACATCCTTACTACTACTGTCTTCTGTGATTCTACCCTTACTCTGCTACCTCTGCTACCTTCCTGGAGCGGATCTGAATTTATCAACTGAGTGTGGCTGGCAGAGCCATTGCTATATACTTATCCCTTCTTTTAAGATCAGTCACGGGAACAATCATATTTCTCTACATTATGTATACATGGACGTGTGTGTGTGTGTGTGTGTGTGTGTGTGTGTGTGTGTGTGTGTCCTCCCTTCCTTTTTCTCTTTTTCTTGCTTTCTTTTTCCTTTCTTTCTCTTTTTCTCACTTTCTCACCTCTCTCCTTTCCTCTGTTTCCTATTTTGCCCTCCCTCCCTCCCTCGCTTCCTCCCTTCATTCTTCTCTTAAAACCCATAGAATTTCTTCAATGACCCCCCCCCAGTTCCAAATCTGAATATCTGAGGGTGTTATACATAGTGAGAAGCTACTATCATTTGGGCTGCTTGCTGGCTAACATAATTCTAGACCTTGCAATTCTAATTAGTTTAGGTTGTTAAAGTCAATTGGAATACTCCATAAAAATGTGATTTATAAATTGGAAATAGAATATCGACTCATAATCAAGATGTAAGTGCTATACATAGTTATAATTTGCTATGCTATTTTCTTTTAAAGAACTTACTGTATATAACTTAGGGCTCAAAGCAAATATTTCTAAAATTATAATGTGTATACACATTACTTAAGGGAGATGGGACTGTGTGAAATTCAACATAAAATATGAAATCATACAATTTTCTGCGTGATATCTTTTCTATTTCTTTCACAATTTGCACAGGGATGGCTTGACAGTGGATCACTTCATCCTAGCAAAGAAAAACAATCATGTTAAGTTAGGTAATCTTGGACCAGAATCAATGAAGTCAGGCAAAGTAAACAGGAAAAAGGACTTACAATATGTAGAATTCATACTAGCTGCCCAGTGTACATTAAATGACTTACTCCAATTATTATATCAGTTAATAATCACACAGATGCTGTAAGATAGTTACTACTGGAAGAAGGAAGTAGTTCAGTGTGCCAACTACAATTGTTGCTCCACAAAGATTCCTTTCAAGATGTCACTTCCCACACATGCTGCTGGGGCCTGCTTACTACCCAAAGCTCAAGAGGAGAGGAAGCTACTCTTCTCTCCATTGGATTGACATGGGCTTTGAAGAGCACCTTCCTAAGGGAGCAGGCCTGCATGGAGCAGGCGTGACCAATGACTGTAATGTAACCTCTATCCCCACTGGCTCTGGAAGACAGCTTCTATAGAACAATTCAAGATCTAGGAATGTCTTTGGTGTCTAGATGAGATTAGAGTTTTCTTAACATGTGTATCATATTGTGGTCCACCTTCTCCCCAATCTCGCCTTTCCTGCCTTTAGTTCTGGGTAGGATTCTCCAAAGAGCTCTGCCTCAATTATTGGGTGTCTTAGGCTCTGACTCCAAGAAACTCTGCCTAAGGCTCATTCTAGGAGAAATTAAATCATTTTCTCCACAGTCCCATAGTTAGTCAATGGCAAGGTTAAGGTCTAACAAGTTTGTCTAGCAAGTCTGTCTAACATTACTTTCCACCATGCTCTGTGGATTCATGGAAGGCTCTGCTTAATCCCCATGGCAAGGATTTTGGCAAAGTCCTTTCCTTCCTGAGGATTTTACTAGACTGGAGCCAGCACACAGGCTGAACTCAATGCAGCATTATGATAGGGTAAGTTGTTTCTCTGTGGAATCTTGCTCAATGTTGAGACAGATCCAAGTTCTGTGAATCTGAAACGTGTGATTTTGGAGTTTCTCTAAAGAAAAAGAGTTAAAAACAGAACTATGTGTCGGATTACTATGGATTATTACGTATGGATGCTTGGAAGAGAGTCATGGAAATGAGGGACTTGAAGCGTAAGCTTCACTGGGATTCCTGGTGAACCCATCTTGGTTCCCATGTTCCAAATAGCAGCTGGGCACATGTTGACCAACTGCTCCAAGATTTAAGAAAAAAATACCAGAATATATCATAATTATCCTTTAAGCCAATGAGACCCAGATGTCATATCATAAAACAATTCTAACTTATTTGTTTTGAGAGTTATATATTTTTCAATATAAAATGAATTTTAATTCATTATCTCCTAGAGCATAAATATAGTCTCCTTATCCCTTTTATGGTAAAAGGAAGTACAGTGAAAGAATCAAACAGAGAAGGACAAAACAATACAAATATTCACAAGCAGTTAGGGTATTTGGATGCATTTCAAGGAAGCACTTGTGTTTCTGAAACTCACTTCTAATACTGAAACATACTTTGGAGAAGGAGGGTGTGGAGAAGCCTATTCCCCAGGATCAGGGTTTCGAATTACAACAATACCATCAAACACACTGAAGTTTTTTGTGAATTCCCAGAATTTAGGTGACTTCAATAGAATCCATCCCAATTCATAGCATTTCTGTTGGTGTGGCAATATACCTATCCCTGTCAAGTCTATCTATTTTTATTTCCATTCATGCATAATGTTAAATATTTGTAAACAGTTTGATAACATACCTTTAAAACAAGCTGATAGTCTAACAATTCTTTGAGCTCTTTCTGCTCCTTTACTAATTGCTTTTGCTTAGATAGCAAATCCTCCCGTAAGTTTTTAATTTCTAATTTCTTCTGCATTACTTCCTTACGCAATTCTTCAGTAGCTTCTCTCAGAATTCTCATCTTCTTTTCCATTTCCTTGAAAAGTCATAAAAATAGCCAGGTGATATAAGATGAAAAAAAACATTTATCTACTGAAAAACTGAACCAAACATCATTCACTTGCCATTTTGATTATATTTATTTTGAGGCTCATGAATGATTTTTTCACAAAGTTAGATGTAATTTATTTCTGATATGTTCATAAGAGAATATTGAACTAAAATTTTTTTACATCAGATTTTAAGTCATTTTAAAACTAGTTCTTCAATGAGTCACTCGTGGCTCATGCCTGTAATCCTAGCTACTAAGGAGGCTGAGATCTGAGGATCATGGTTCAAAGCCAGCCCAGGCAGGAGGGCAGGAAAGTCTGTGAGACTCTTATCTCCATTAAACCACTAGAAAACCAGAAGTGGCCCTGGGGCTCAAGTGGTAGAGTGCTGGCATTGAGCTGAAGAGTTCAGGGACAGCTCCCAGGCCCACAGTTCAATACCTACGACTGACAAGTAAACAAACAAACAAAGGAAAAAAAACCAAACTGTGCTTCATATTTTAAGTTATTTTCAAGTTATACCAAAAATGTTAATAAAATATTCTTTTTTTTATAACTTTGTGACTTGAAATAATCAGTTGCAAATAATCTTTGAATATCTGGCTTTTGGTTAACCTGAGTTACTCATGGCACTAACAATAAGGAGATTCATATCTGGGATGACCAACTGTCCATCCCTTCATGCTTCAATTTTTCACACCAATATTATTTTTTGGCTTCTACAATTGTCTCTAAATACCCTCTAGCTCAGACTTACAGGAGATCATGTTTTCATATCTTATTAATGGATAATATTGACTTATGGGAGAAAAATCTTATATTCAGAAAGGTTACATGATACAAAGTAGATGGATCCAGTGAACCTGTTCTGGGCTTTTTGCCCAGCTCTCTCCTTCCACTGTTGCTAGAAAAGAGTAAAATTAATTAACTACAGTTATGCTTGAATAGGAAATGTCCAACACTTGGATGCCAGCTGCTAGTGCTGTTTGGAGAGGTTCTGCAAACTTAAGACCTAGCTGTAGGAAGGAGCTTATTAAGAGCATGACTTTTAAGGTTACACTAGCTCCTAATCCCATCTTCACTCCTGCTTCCTGTCCTCCATGAGAGGAACAGCCTCCTCCTATACATGTTCCCGCTGCCACGATGTTTTGCCTCATCTTCATCTCAGAATCAATGGAGCCAAGTGAACATAGACTTAATCCTTGGAAACCATGATTAAAAAGATATATCTTTCCTTGTAAAAGTTGTTCCTTCTGGTATTTTGGTCACATTTCTGCAAAAGTTAGTAGCATACCTACAATCTGGAATAAAGTTCAAAACACTTTTTTCTATCCTGTAAAGAGAGTTATAACTGGAGGTTAGAAGTACTTCTATAGAATCAATGGTATTTTACTAAATGTTAAACAAGTTTTGAAAGCTGGCCTTAAGTTAAACCATAAGCAATGTAATTTTGAAACTTAACCATTCAGAAAGGAGGAACAATACAAAGTATAAGGCTCTATTCCCTAGAACAGAACACAAAAAATAACTGTAAGTTTCTCTTGTTCCCCAAGGTATGCAGGCCCGTATACAATGTCTTTGCTATTCTTCCCATTAAAGGGAAGGCTAATCTTCCCTAGACACTTTTAGCCATGTGCATTGTTTTGACTAATGAATGCTATAAAAGTGATTTAAATAGAGGCTTGAAAAAGTTCCGGCAGGTCAAAATTTTCCCTTTCTTGAAGCTAGAAGCCCTTCCAATCTTACTGATGTGTGACCTCTGACCGGCCTGACTGCTACATAGCTGACAGGCAAGTGAAGCCAATCTGGACCACACAGCTCCAACTCAACCAGCTCAGACCAGAAACATTGAGAACCATGGAAGAAATGATTGTTTTAAGCCATTAAGTTTTAAGATGCTTTACTTTTTAGAGATAGAAAATTGGTACCTCTTCTTTATAAAAAGTTCTTGTAACAATTTGGGATGTTCTCAAGAGCTATATGACTAATAGCTATAATGAAAGTAATATTTTAAGTGCCAACTACAGAAACTTGTTTTCTTCTGGAAAGCAGATATGTCTAGCAGAGCATAGCCGATATTAGATGCCAACTAACCCAAGCCTGTAATAGACATCACTTACATTTTATTCAGAAGTTCTGTAGGTTTTCCTTTTAGTATTACCAATAGTTATGACTTTTTGGTCTTTTGTCTGTCATAATGAAGATAATTATTTTTAAAGATACATTTGAACCCAGCTGTATTTAATAAACCCTATGTAATCTAATACTTACTCCTGGCTTAGGTATCCTCTCAAATTCCTTTTGTATGAGGCTCTTTTCTTCCTTTAAGCTGCCAACAACAACAACAACAAAAAATCAAGTTTGACAAAATGCAAGAGAATACTTACTTTCTAGGTTTTTAAAATACGGTTTTTTATTGTGAAAATACTGTACAGAGGAGTTACAGTTACATGAGCAAGGTAATGAGTATATTTCTTACCAAGCATTGTTGCCTTCTCCTTTGATTTTCCCCTACCATCCCTTCCCCCCCCATCTCCACAACTACACTCCTGCCCCCTTGTCCCCTCTAAATTGTAAAGTTCGTTTTTCGACATAGCGTCTTGTACATCTCATTGTTGCAATGGGTTAACCTGTATCCCTATTGAAACAATTTGTTTTTCCCCTTTCCCTCCCCAAATTATACCAACATCAAATACAGTGAAAACAGGGGTTATACTGTGGGGGAGGGACATACAAAGCAACAAAAAATCACGTGGTACCTCATAAATACAGTAGAAACAATAGCAAGAAAGAAATAACCACTTGTGTCCATATCTTGGGGTTCATTTTGCTTAACATCATCTGATAAGAAAAGGTCAGATATGACCTTTTCTGCTTTTCTCAGACATATACTAGTTATTGCAAATAAGGGAAACCATGGGGCCTATGTTTCTTTGGGCCTGGCTTACTTCACTTAATAGAATTTTTTCCAAGCCTTTCCATTTCCTAACAAATAGGGCAATGTTATTCTTTCTGATGGAGGCATAGAATTCCATTGTGTATATATAACACATTTTCTTGATCCATTCATCTACTGAGGGGCATCTGGGTTGGTTCCATATCTTAGCTATGGTAAATAATGCTGCAATAAACATAGTTGTGCTGGTAGCTTTAGTATGGTCTTGTTTGTGATCATTTGGGTAAATGCCCCAAAGTGGAATTGCTGGGTCATAGGGGAGCTCTATGTGGAGTCTTTTGAGGAACACTATTTTATCTTTAATGTGTCTGGTGCCCTGAGTCCGTTCTTTATGACTACTTCTGACTCCCACAAGCCCCACTCCTGTGCTTCCTCTCCTTTAGCACTCCTACAACACTGTAGGTGCACAAACCCAGTCCAGCAGTTATCTTAGCATATTGTTATTGAGTGGGAGCATGGACCTCCCTCCAGACCCAGGTTCCTTCCAGGCAGGCACTGGGCTTGCCTAGATACTACCACAGCCTTCCAAAGGATCCAGGTTGCCCGATAAAGTCAATCCTCAACCACCACTATGGTGCTGCATAAACAAGATCCCATCACATGAAATTCCCATCTAACCTAGTTCAAAATTTTAACTCCTTTCTCAAGACTACAAGACTCTGCACAAATTGTGACTCTCCAGTTTCACTGACTGCCCCATTTGGTTCTGGCCAGATCAGCCTTCTTGCCAAACCTGTTCCTACCTCAGGGCTTTTGCTTTCCTTGTGTGGTGCCTCTAATCGGTTTGGTGTTTCCATAGAACTTTGCATAGACCACATAGATCTGCCTCTAGCACCTTCTTGGAGGTATCAGACCATCCAGTCTATGACAGCACCCATTTTCACTACTCATTTCTTGTCCTGATTTACTCTTTGTTAGTTTTTTGAGACTGGGTCTTCCTATGTAGTCTACGCTGGTCTCCAACTTCTGGTTCTTCTGCCTCAGCCTCCCAAGTGCTGGGATTACAGGTATATCCTACCATGTTTTCCCTGATTTACTTTATGATATTAATCACTATGACATTATATTATGTATATGCTTTGGTTCCAGAAAACCTTGCCTCATAAGGGCATAGACATTGTTCTGTTTGCCACTATTTCACCATTGCCTTTAATAGTGTTTGCTCATAGTAAGCATATTTATTGGAATATAAATAGAACAATGGAAGTTAGTTTTAGTCCTTCATTTATTATTTGAAGTAAGCATCGCTTATATGCAAATGAGGTAAGGATATACATATGAAAATATATCTTTCCTTACAATGACCTAATGCATCACATTCCTCTACAGACAGATTCCTAAAATCATGGAAAGTTGTTTGAAGTTGTGAAGAAGGGGCAAGCCAAGAAGGAGCTCACTTTTACTTTGACATGGTGATGGATATGATTACAGAGCATCTTAGTTGAAAGAAGCATAACAGAGACTCAGGTGTGGCTGGGAAGTGGGTATCCAAGGACTCAAGTGTTTCAAGTGGAGGACAAATTTTGACCAGCATCGAGGTTAAACAAATACTGGATGTATTTAAGGATAATTCACTCAAATTTTGCTTTCCTCCCAAACTAGTAAAAACTCTGACATGAACTCACAAGAAGACCAGGGAAGCACACCCTGTCTGTACTTGTATCTTGCCTTTGCCCACCCCCCGGCCCTGGTACATGAATTGCCAGGTATTTATTGTACCATTCTGTCAATCTGGATATACAGGAGGTCCATATTTTACAGCTTTCACTTGCTTTTGGATTGAGGCTGTTCGATGAATTCTTGCCAGTGGGAGCAAATGGCAGTGAATATCACCAGACTTTCTGGCCATGTGGTCTATTTGGAAAGTATATAGGATGGAGGCTATGTGACTTTCACTGGACAGTTGGAGTGAGCCAGAAACAAAATTTTGTTAAGTTATTCACAGATATTTTTATTTTTTTTTTTGGGTCCGGTCATGGGGCCTGAACTCTGGCCTGGGCGCTGTCCCTCAGCTCTTCAGCTCAAGGCTAGCGCTCTACCACTTATGAGCCACATTGCCACTTCTGGCTTTTTTTCTTGCTTATGTGGTGCTGAGGAATCGAACTCAGGGCCTCATGCATGCAAGGTAAGCGCTCTACCACTGAGCCACCTTCCCAGGCCTATTCACAGATATTTTTGGATGTATTTGTTCTTGTTGTGTAGGTTAGCCGAAGGCTAACTTCTGTTCTCCATGCTGTTTCCCTATATTCAATTATGTGATGACTTCTCAGTTATGATCTCTAGTTCAGAATTTCCTTGGTGTTCCAATGGTTTATTTTCAGTTTCCTCTGAGACAACTCTAGTTGTGTATCTCAAAGACCTATCACATTAAACTTTTTATCTTCTTCTCTGAAATGTACTTACTTCTTTTCTTCTCTCGGTCAAAGACACTTCCAATTTACTTAATTTTCGAATCTACAAACCTCAGAGTCATTCTTTCAATCCCCTTGTGTTTCAGTGGTGGGATAGAAAAGGAACCATTTTAAGTTTTTATTCTTCTTAACAGCTCCCCTCCCTGCCAGGAGAGACTAAGCAGAACTTAAGCCATCAGAATATAATTGATCTTAGAGAAGTAAACTCCAAGTCCAGTAGGCTCTGAAGCCACTCCAGCCACCTGTCCCTTCTAAGATGGTTTGAGAAGGTGGGGAAAAGCATGTAAGAGCTTCACAGTTCAGAGGCATAGGTTTACTGATACAACAATGCATTCAGTTATGTATGCTTATAAACATGAGTGCATATATTTATGTATGCTCATGTATAAGTAAAAGAAAAGACAGTAAATTGGGGCTGGGAAGGTGGCTCAGTGGTAGAGCGCTTGCTTTGCATGCATGAGGCCCTGCGTTCAATTCCTCAGCACCACATAAGCAGAAAAAGCTGGAAGTGGCACTGTGGCTCAAGTAGTAGAGCGCTAGCCTTGAGCTGAAGAGCTGAGGGACAGCACCCAGGCCCAGAGTTCAGGCCCCATGACCGACAAAAAAAAAAAGACAATGAGTATGTGAGCTATTATAAGGCTATATGAAAGTGGTCTTGGATTAGATCTAAATCTTTATTCCCAACAATAAAATAAGTAAAAAGGAAACAAAAGTGATAGAGGAAATTGGATTATATAAAATGCTTAGTTAACACTATGAAAGCAGAGTATGGATGACAAAAACATGAACAAGGAAATACAACAGAGTGACAAATAAGGCAATTGTCAACCCAACTTTATCAATAGTCACATTATATGCGAATTTAAAAAACAAGTTGTCAGAAGGGATTAAAAAATAAGACTCAACTATAGGTTATCTATAAGAAACTCACCTTAAATATAAGAATTCATAAAAATTAAAAGTAAATCTACAGTAAAGATATACCAGGTTGACACCAATCAAAAGAAATCTGGAGTCACACTACAGGTTAAGCATCCCTAATCCGAAAACCTTGAAACGGGAATGTTCTAACATATGAATTCTTTTGAGAGTTGACTTGATCTTCAAAGTTTCTAATTTTGAGTTAGGGGTATTCAATTGGTCCATGCAAATATCCCCAAATGTGAAAAACACTGAAATATAGAACACTTCTGGTCCCAAATATTTTAGGGTAAGTGATACTCCTCAATAATCATAGAAAGAGCAAAGTTCAGAGCAAAGAAAGTAATTGGGGCATAATGGGAGAGTAAATTATTCAAGGGGACAAAATATTCTGTAACAGGTGTGCACTAATAACAGAAAGTAAAGTACATCGGCAAATCTGATGGAACTGAAAGGAGAAATAGATGTATCACCAATCACAGATGGGGACTTCAATGTTCCTCCACCAGTCAATAGGAAATAACTGACATTTATAGGAAGGAAACCCAGACTTTTCCCTCTGACACCTAATATCATTGCAAGATGATATTAACAAAAGAAATTAATATTTATAGGAAGCACAGACAGACTTTTTTCCAGAAATCCAATCAGTACTGTAAGATGATATTAACAAAAGAAGCTGAAAACATTAAGAAGTATAGTAAATAGGAAGATGTGGTTTCATTCACTTGTTAATGAGAATATTTATATTTTCATTATAATGGTTAGGATGAGATGATGTGATGCTGAAATGAAATTTTAGAAATTGCTTGAAAAAGGCTTAGACTGAATGTTCTATATAAGTAATGATGGATTGGACACAGTTACTTGTTCATCATCATCATCTTCCACTAATGGTATCTTTGACTCCATTTTACCCACTAGATTTCCTGAAAAAATTGAGAAATATTTTCCATCTTTTTCTTGTTTTACTGCATTTCATGATTATTAAGAATCAACAAGTCTTAAGATTTTCCAGATGTGATTAATACAAAATTTAAA